CACAGTCCCAAAGCCGGTAACCCATGCTGTCTCCCCCGTATCCAATGAAAGTGTATTTCTTGGCTTTAGCATCTAACTTGTCACCATCTTTCATAAGATCATAAGCGCTGCAACCAAATATCTTTAAATGCCCATACCTGACAGCTTCTCCTTTCCATTCTTCCTCCGGTATCTTGAAACCTAATGGTACTGATGGCCCCCGGTTGATAAGATAAGCAGCAGTATTCACTGCATCAGCCCAGAACGTCTTTGGAAGCCCAGCATTGAGTCTCATACTCCTGGCCCTCTCATTCAAAGTTCTGTTCATCCTTTCTGCCACTCCGTTCTGTTGAGGAGTGCCTGGAACCGTCTTTATCATCCGAATGCCATGTTCAGCACAATAATCAATAAACTCTGTGCTAATGTATTCACCGCCATTGTCCGATTTCAAGCACTTTACCTTCAAATTAGTTTCCAATTCAACAGCAGTTTTCCACTTCTTAAAAATATTGAAAACTTCAAACTTATTTTTAAGAAAGTAGACCCATACCTTGCGTGTTGAGTCGTCAATGAAGGTCACATAGTAGCTTGATCCTCCCAGGGAAGAGACTGGCGTCGGGCCAAACACATCCGTGTGAACTAGCTCCAGCTTCTGAGTTTTCGGTGTCTGGCCTGTCTTCAAAAAAGAAACCTTCTTTTTCTTGCCAAGAACACAAGGTTCACAGAACTCAGAATTCACCTTTTTCAAATTTGGAAGTTTCCCCCTTGCAACGAGCATCTTCATTCCCTTTTCACTCATGTGGCCAAGCCGTTGATGCCACAAACTGGATGGATTCAGCCCGCAGGTCACTGCATTCATCTCATCATCAGGGGCTTCATTTATATATAAAGTACCCCTCTTTTTGCCTCTAGCGATTACAAGATTCCCCTTGACAACCTTCCATTGTCCTTCACCAAATGTAACATCAAACCCCTGATCATCCAACTGCCCAATAGAAATCAGCATCTTCTTAAGGCTTGGAATGACCCGAACGTCTTTCAATGTCCAAGTGGTGCCCAAAGAAGTCTTTAAGTCTATGTCACCCATCCCTGTGATGTCAAGAGAGTCGTTATTAGCCAAACGAACTTTACCAAAATTACCTGTCCGTAGATTCTTTATCATCTTTGTGCTGAAAGTAGCATGAAAAGATGCACCGGAATCCATAATCCACGACTCTGTTGAGTTTTCAACACAGCAAATAAGAGCATCATCTGAATCGTCAGTGGCTGCATTCACTTCCTTCCTTTCTAATGATTTAGGGCATTGATTTCTGAAATGCCCAGTTTCTTTGCAGTTCCAGCATTGAATATCTTTTCTCGGCTTTGATTGGCTCCTCTTTCTAGACTTTGATCTGCCTCTGCTATTTCCCTTCTCTTTCTTTCTACCTCTCCCTTCAGTGCTTAACAAAGCACTAGAAGATTCTCCAGAACTCCTCCTTCTTATATCCTCTCCAAGGATAATGTCACGAATGCCCTCAAATGTGAGTTTAGAAGTTCCAGTTGAACCGCTAATGGCAGTGACTGTTCCTGACCAACTTTCTGGTAATGAGGATAACAAGAATAAAGCTTGGACTTCATCTTCAAACTTAATATCAACAGATAGCAAGCGAGATATGATAGTATTGAACTCGTTAATATGTGAGGTAGCAGAAGCACCTTCTTTCATTCTGGTGTTTACTAGCTGTCTTATCAAAAATACCTTATTTGACGCCGATGGTTTCTCATACATGTTTGACAAAGCCTTCATCAAACCACATGCAGTAGTCTCCTTCAAGATGTTAAACGCCACACTCTTGGCTAGGGTAAATCTGATAACAGCCAAAGCTTTCCTGTCTAGAGCAGTCCATTCATCATCACTCATCTTTTCTGGTTTCTTTCCTGTCAAGGCTTGATCCAGATCCTTCTGACACAGCAAATCCTCAATTTGCATCTTCCACCATCCAAAATCTTGTCCATCAAACTTCTCGACTTTGGTTTTTCCGTCGTCTGCCATTGTCCCAAACCTTTACAATCTGCCAGCTGTGTTTTTCTGCGGCAGCACACTGTTGGCGGCACAAAGAGGCTATGGACGCAGGGCGGCAACAGTGGTGGTGGTCAGATATGTGGTGGTGGCTAACCTCTCTCTGATACCAGTTGTTAAGGTTAGGGCGCACACTCACACAAATCTGAAAACGAGAAAAGAACGAGAAGAAACGGCACACAAAAATTAACGTGGTTCAGCCAGTAAGTGTTACTGACCTAATCCACGGGGGCAACTAGGGTTTTCTTCTTTATTGAGATGATGAATGATACAGATCATCGTTTTACAAGTACAGGAGTCAATATATAGGCAAACAATTAGGGTAAAGCACTTAAATAAGGTTCTGGGCCTGACTGCCATCAAAGAAATAGGCCCAACTAGGGCTGCCTGCACATTTAACTAGAGCAGGCTGCTGCTCTTTGTTTAAATGACTCCCAGGTCTGAGTGGGCCGAAGCCTACAGCCCAACAGGGTCACGCCTTGCGTCATTGTCTGGCTTCTATGGTGTCTTTCCGACGTTGTGACGATGATGCGACGATGCCCTTTGACTTGTGGCATGTCGAGCTTTCATGGAGACCCGCCCAAGCGCCGTGACGCCAAGTCGATGACGCAAAGACACCATAACAAATATGGGATGAAGAACATAAGAAAGATAAAGAAGATCATCATCATGGCCATTATCCTAGCGCCGCAAAGGCTCTCACCGTAGGTGGGGTAAAGAAGATCATTTGCATTTCATTTTCATTTACCCCGTGGGGTAAGGGGGGTCGGATGTACGCAGTCTTACCCCTGTACTAAAGCACAGAGAGACTGTTTCCGGATGACCCATAGTAAAAATCGCGTCCAAAATTGTATGGGCTGACTGCTGCTTCATAACAAAGAAGCGCAGACAGTTTAGTGAGCCATTTTGCTTTATTCCATCATATTCTCAAGCCAAAAAATAATGAATCTTTGGCTCCATTGCAAATGATGGAAATGGGGTAAAGAAGATAAAAGGATAAAAAAAGATGATTAGAGATCGATCCTCCACGTGAATATCTACTCCACGTGAATATCTACCCCTTTGCTCTCTCCAAAGGATAAAAAAAGATGATTAGAAATCACTCCTGGCTACTCTTAAAACACTTCTATTTGGGTCTTCCTCTCTCTTTCCCGCCTCTTCTCCACACCTTTCAACTCGTCTAAAGGTGCATCACTTTATATGCACATGACCAAATCACCGCAACGGGTTCCGCATCTTATCTTCAATAGGTGTCTTCTACTTGTGATAATATTGTGTCAAAAAGTTTTTAGGTATATCACAATATGGGTGTTATAATCTCCACTTTCTCCAGTTTAAGGATAATTATATGCTGTTGTTGAGCACACTGCCATTTTCACCGGACTCACAACATTGATTTATATCCTTCGTGTGTTAATTATTTTCCATGTCCATAGCGTGTGACTTATTTTTTTGGTTTGTTAATTTGTCCTAGGCAACTCTTCGACTGTCTAAGTTAACAAATGTGATTTCTCAAATGGGAGGTGATTAGTTGACGTCGTTTATGGAATCACCTTACTCAATCTCTTCTCTGTTTTCCATTTCCTCTCTGTTTTTCATTTCTTTTATGTTTTTTTTTTTTGTAGAAATTATGCATTTCTGACTGACCTCTTCACTTGGCTTTAACCCCTCTGTCTGGAAGTTCATCATCATTTATAACTCATCTTCTGTTAACTACCTGCTAAATTTGTATCAAAGTTATTGGTTTTCAATTTAATACAAATATCTGGTATTAGCATGGTGAAGGTTTTAGGTGTTTCAATGGGTTGGGATGTGCTGTTGAGTACATAATAAATGACACTATTGACACGCCGACACATTAAAGTTGACTCAAGGAAATAACACACTGACACATCAACTGGAAATAACCAGTTGTGCACTAGCTCTCCCATTGTCTTGCACGTAAAAGTACACAAGAGTAGTGTTGCTATTAAATATTTTCATCACATTTCAAATGGTAGGGGTAGGGTGGTGTAAAATTTTGTGGGTGGAGTTCTGCAGTTTAGTTGATTTAGATAGAATAAGGGTCCTTTTGGTAGCCCACTCTGGACTTTTCTGCTTATCATTAGATTAGAATAGGCTGAATAATCAGAGTAAGTAGCTTATGACCTGCTTATTTGGCTGAAATGTATGTTACCGAATGCTTTCCATTTTTGAAAGTTGAGAGAATTCAGCCATTTTAGTCCAACAAATAATCCCTATGAAACATTCTACAACGATCCCATCATGCCAAATCTGCTCATTGCATTGATCCATGTCAACTCGAGGTGGCGGTTTAAACTGTTGTGGGTGGAGTACTGTACCATATTTGATGTGATGTAGTAAGGATTCATCTGGTAGCTAATTCTGGCCTTTTTCTGCTTATATTTAAAATCGGCTGTATTATCAGAGTAAATAAATAGCTTATGACCTGCTCATTTGGCTGAAATATATGCTACCAAATGCCATTCCGTTTAGAAAGTTCAGTGCATGTAGTAATTTTAGCCAAACAAATAATCCCTTATGGACATATAAAGATCCCATCATGTCAAATCTGCTTATTGCATTAAGCCGAACACAATATTTGGTGTCAAATTGCTTTTCCACCCGTTAGAGATTTTATCTATGGTACAAATGAAGTTGTTAGCATTTTCATTTGTACCATTAATAAAATATATTTATGTTACATTAATGGTGTCAAATCTGCTTATTACCCCCCATAGGCTCGTCCTAATTTCTTTTGCATCACTCAACTCTGACTAGTCTTTAGCTACACACTAGATTCAAGTCACCCACCCACCTGGCATCTAGCTCTTCCTAAAAATCGACATTCCTGTAAGATTTACACCTGTTAGAGATTTTATTTATGGTACAAATGAAGTTGTTAGTATCTTCATCATTGGTTGTATTCATATATTTGGTGTCAAATTGCTCTGTTGTGCAGACTGAAGGCTCACCTATTAGAACATTTTGATAGATACAACTATACCAAACATGCTACATGCTATGAGGACATATTACACAAAGACCCGACCTGTGACTATTCATTGGGAAAGCTCATTAGCTTGCATCAAAGAGGTATGCTCCTCCACTTCAAAACAATAACCTCCCCTCACCCACGTGCTCTTGTGTATGCCCTAAAAACTTATCTATTATTATGCTTGTAAGGTACTGTTTTCTGAGGCAATGTGATGCACTCGAGAAAAAGTCCAACCTTTCTCTCCACTAAAGCATTATAAATTCTCCTTGTTTAATTTTGAATTGCTATGTACTTAACCTCAGGGGACTACTGCACTGAAAAACTGGCGGAAATAATAGCCTCAAACTTAGATGCTACTTACGCAAAGTGCAACACGTGGAGGGAGTTTGCGTGTCTCTTGATGAAGCTTTCTCAAGCTGAAGGGGATACTATGTCTGTATGTGCTGATGGCGGTGATGGGCAGAAACAAAAATCATCGGGTTATCTTTGTATTTGTGTCCCAAGAATATTTCTTGCCCCAGAATCTCAAAAGTCTTGGATGCTTCGTTGCAAATGGTGGCTTACACGCCACTTCAGAAAGAGCACACTTGTGTCTGATATATCTTCAGGTATCCTTCGTTCTATGTTTGACATAAACAATTGGTTTTGATAGATTTGGACTGGGTTAGGGTCATTCCCTGGGCTATAAATCAATTGAGTAGAAGCACTCTAAAAAGAATGAATCCAATCTAAAAAGAATGAATCCAGGGTCTTACTAACCAATCTCTCTCTTTAATTTCCAACATCGGATCCTAACAAGCTTATCTATGCACAAACCCTGCCAATATTTTTTAATCTTAATTCTTTTCAGACGCTCCAATTTATATTAACATTTATATTTTTATTTTTATACATATTCAGGTGACACGGAGCTCCTCACCTACAAGGCAGCAGCAGCATGTCATCTGTATGGGCGAGATTTCGGATACGTAGTACAGGCAAAAGAGTTCTTGGAAAAAGAAAACAATATGGACATGTTGCTTACCTTGAATAGACACGTCCACAACTCAGCTGGTTTCTATTTAAAAAATGTGTAATTGTTTGTAGACGTACTGTACGCTCAAGAGTGAGATTCTTAAGAAGGAAAATGCTGAGTATACATATATTGTACACAAAATGTACATCATATAAATACCTTTTTTTAGCTTTTACCATTCCCCTTTCATTTTTTACCCTTCTCCCTCCCCATTACTTTCCCCTTCCTCTCTCTTTTCTTTTCTCTCTGCGGGTTACGCACAACCCCACCTCTCTACTAACTCTTTCTTCAATTTCAATTGATCTTCAAATTTCCTTCATCCCAGCTTCAAATATCAATACCGGTCAGCGCTTCTACTCCTCCACCGAGGAGCCGTTCGCAGCGAGAAACAAGGGATGTCGTGAATAGTGGCAAGTCATAGAGAATAGAAACAGGTGTTTGACCTGATGTTCTGCGGATCTCCAGCTCCCTTCTCTTCCGGTATGGAGTGTTGTTGATTGGCTATGGTTATTAACTTCCATATGAAAAGTTATGATTAATTGATTATTAAGGTAATAATCTATTTCTTGTTTTTATGTTCATATAGGGTTGATTTTTTTGGAGTTTTAGTAAATTATACTTCGTATATGCTATGTTGAATCTTTGACCATTTCATTTCATTGATATAGGTTTGTGATGTTAACTACTAAAATTATAGTTGAAGTATTGTATTTCATTTGTATACCCATCACATGTTCGTTGAAAAGATTGAATGAATTCTTTTATTCATATCGATTATTTACTTAAGATGTTTTTGCTCCTTTTCGGTTAATGTGCTTTGATGTTTAATGGGAATGATATGTTTTAAGTGTTTTAGGCTACTTTTTATTGAGTTCCTAGAGTTAACAGTTGAGTTCAATTTGTACTCTAGGTATCTTATGATTGAAGGAAGGATATATCAAAGGAGGAAGCACGGTGAGTGCAATGGGAGTGGTGCAAACTGCAAAGGAATGAGAATGTGCTTATGATTGTCCTACCTCTCGAACCATTCACTACCAAACAGGTTTTCTTGTTATTTCACAAAATGTTATACTTGGTCATAGTAGTAGACTTAAGAGTATGTCTTTATTCATGCATTTATTTGGCTGGAAATCCTCCCGTTTCTTTTAGTAATTATTGTTGATACCTTAATACTATCGTTTTGTGTTTCAAATGGGGGCGTATTTGAGCTTGAAATTTGAACCATCAAGGTTCTATAATGCAGTGGATAGCTTCTAGCAAATTGCTTTTCTGATAAATCAATTTGGTATTCCTTATCTTTGCATTGCAGAGCTCTTTAAGATGGTCTGTCAACTGTCAAGGAAATGAAACTGATTTGCGTGCGGAATCTGAATTTAGTTGTTTTATTTTATGTGACAGAAAGTGCTAAAGTGCAATAATGCTTGAAGTACTTAAGTGCTGATTTTATTGAAGCCTGAAGTAATAAAGTGATGATCTTAGTGAAGCTTACTGAAGTGCAATGAGAAGAAGTTTGAGATATGTGTAGTAATAAAAGTGTAGCCCGTCTTTGTAATTGGTCTTTCTTTTGTTTGAGTAGCCTGCTTCTTCTATATATAGAAAAATTGTAATTACAATATATTCAATTTAAAGGTTTCTAGATTTAAATTAAACTAAGTGACAGTCATCTGTGTTTGAGCTTCTTTAAAGATAGAGTTCTGTGGGTTCATATGGCACTACTAAAAGATAGAGTTCTGTGGGTTGCAGATGTCTGGTATAGATGACGGTGGCGGCGATACAAGTGTTTCGTGAATGATCAGCGATATAAGTGTTTCGTGAATGATCAACGGTGTTTGATATATATCATCTATATATAGTTGATTTTTAATTTCTTTATTGTTGATAGATTCCCCCTTTTTTATGATGCTCTGAATTGCTAATTTTAAAGCCTTGTAATTTAGTGGTTTCTTGACTTTCTTCAACTAAATGTCCTCTTTGGCAATGTCCACAGACAATTCAATTTAGCACATTAGCCCATTCCGGTGACTATTTCGTTTAGTACATTAGAGTATTAGACCATTGCAGTGACTATTCTCTGTAGCTAGACACTTTATGTCATGTTCACAGACAATTCAATTTAGCACATTAACTCATTCTCACGACTATTGTCTGTAACTAGACATTTAATGTAATGTTTACAAACAATTCCATTTAGCACATTGGTCCATTCCAGTGGCTATTACCTGTGGACAAGCACTTCATGTCTGGTTCACAAACAATTTCACTTGGCACATTAGCTCATTCCAGAGGTTATTGTTTGTGACCAGACGCTTTATAAAAAGTTCACATACATTTTCACTTAGCATATTATACTGATGCATTGGTTAATGTCACCTATCGGTAATCAGACAATTCATGTCGAATCCACAGACAATTCTATTTAGCACATTAGTCTATCATGTATGTTATTGTCTGTGAACTAGACATGAAGTGTCGGGCCATAGGCAATAATCACTAAAACAGGCTATGTGTTAAGTGTGATTACTTATGAACGACACATGATGTGGCTTCTCATAATTTTCTATGCCCATTAAAACTAAAAGAAATTGAAAGAACTTGAATAATTGTTCTACCGAAATTTGGAGTTTCCCATTTACTTCTCCTTGCTTCACATTAATGGATCACAAATCATTCTTTTTATATAAGAGGTTTGCCTAATATTGAAATATAATTCAACACAAGGCTCTGTGAGAAGATTTAAAGTTTTAATGAGTACTATATACAATTCGGTGTAGTTGATCACATCCTAGAAGCACTCCAACACTTCCAACTCCAGCACTCCAACACCATATAGAATGTTTGCTCTAACTCCATGGAGAAGTGCGGAAACCCATTGATGGTAAATGATTTCTTTTACGCCATGAAAGGAGATATGGTACTTCATTCTTGTCCAACAAAAACATAAAAGCTCAAAGGAACCCGCATAAAAAAAAGAACCAACACCATTCATTTTACAGCCTAATAGCAACAAAGTTAGTAATGACAAAATTCATAATATAGGTAATTGAGCACTTTCTATAAGTTAGGAGCAATCAAAACTACCAAATCACATGCAAGACAAACTAATTTCTATAAAATACACAATAGAATAAAAATCAGTAGCATTCACAAATTGTATATAGACATGTTCTTCTAGGGGTTAACAATTGGCTTTGACCTTGATTGTTGGAATTCTAGGAGCTTGTTGTAAACATTAGCTTCAGTGTACATGTCTTGCCATTGTGCTCCATATTCTAATAGGACTTTCCCTCACGTATTGTGAAGCATGTATAGTAGTCAAATCCCTTGACACTTGGCTTTAATTACACAAATTCAATGAGTCAATTGTAACCTGCAACATGAGACTAAAAACAGCAGCCCATAGACCCATATTTGGCATACTCTAAGGCATAATCTTCATATGGGAAAATACATTTAATGTTATTTCATATATGATGTAAAATAGTATAAACATCATCATATTTTGTGGAGAGGAAAGTATTGAATATTACAACTCATGTAGATAAAAAACATTTCATTGCAGTATTTTCATATGGTCGTAGTTTATGAAGATATGTACAATGAACATTGGAAGGGGGAAGTCTACAAATTTTAGAAAACTGAGGATTAAAAATAAAAAACAACAATTTTGAACTCAATAAAACTCCCAATTTCAGCTCATACACAAGTTCTTAGCCAACAAGGTAGAACACAAATTGAACTCAATCTTTGAACATAATAAAAAGCATCCTAATATTTTTTCGAATATGGAAGAAAATCATACCAAACATTTAACACTATAGTAACATACATAAAATCTGAAAAATAAGAAAGAAATATATCCCTATAAGAAAAAACATCTAGCAAATTCATAATAATCAAAGAATAATCAATCAAAAATTACTACGGAGTATATCATAGTAAAATTGCAAAACAGAAATAGTAGAGTCTAAAATTCATCATTTACTGATGTACATTAACAAAAATGAGAACAACATCATGAATTTGAACAAAAAGTTCATTCAGTCATTTTAACAATCATATTATGAGCATAAATGAACTAGAGTAATTATCTTAAAATTTCAATAATCAACACTTCAAATCTCTTACAATAAAACAAATTAATCAATTATTCAAGGTTATAAACATACCTAATATACATAAAATTGAAACTAATATATATAAAAAGCAAAGCACACAAGAAAAAAAAGGATATTACCTGATGATTTGAGAAGAATGACTAACCATATAGAGAAACGGATCGTATATGACAACTACATGAGGAGAAGGATTGAAAATGGTTTAGAAGTTAGATGGAAGAAGGATTGAAAATGAAAAAAAAGGAGAAAGAAGGGAGCGAGTGAGTGCAGACGCAAGAAAAAGAACGGGAAGAGGGAATGAACGAAAGAGAGGGGGGGGGGGAGGGGGAATGAGTAAAAGATAAAAGTGGAGTGGTAAAAAAAGAAGGTATATATATTGTGTGCAATTTGTGTACACTTTGTGTACCCCAAGCAAAATTGTTCTTAAGAATTGGATCATCATCATCATTTTCATTTACCCCAGTGCCGCAAAGGCTCCCACCTACGATGGGATAAGGGGGGTCGGATGTACGCAGTCTTACCCCTGTACTAAAGCACAAAGAGACTGTTTCCGGATGACCCATAGTGAAAATCGCGTCCAAAATTGCATGGACTGATTGCTGCTTCATAACAAAGAAGCGCAGACAGTTTAGTGAGTCATTTTGCTTTATTTCATCATATTCTCAAGCCAAAAAATAATGAATCTTTGACTCCATTGAAAATGAGAATTGGATCCATTTAAAATTTAAATGGAACTCTTATGAGAGGTGTAACTTAAGATTTTATGGAATGGTTAATATTTTTATATGCAATTGATGTGACACAGTTTAATGTTTCATAATTTATATGTTGATTTATATTTCTATATGTAATGAATACAATGTGAAATTGTTTAATATGCCTCACAAGATGGTGGCACGTGCGACGGTGCGAGTAGATCAATCTTGTAATCCGTGTGTTCATTGTTGATGCTTAATTGCTTATCATATTGAATTGACTCTAGATCTAATTGTTCATTGGAGTTTAATTGATTCAAATGTCATATTAAAAATTGGGGTTTCATCCTAAAAAAAAGTCGATCTAATACCAAAAGAAACAATAGACACTATATGTCGTATATCTATAAGCAACTTATGGGACATTTTAATATGCTCTGTATTTTATTTGTATTTCTAGAATCGAGGACTTTGACAATAGAAGCTAGGGGTGGATGGACCGGGTCGGTCTGACCCGGGATCCGGCCCGGCACTAGGTTGGCCCGACCTGGCCCAGTGAACCGGGATGGACTGAGGCCCGAACCGGGGATTTGAAATAGCGGTCTACGGGCTTCGTAAACCGGGAACCGACTAGGATCGGTCCGGGCATAACGACCAGATTTAGAAAAAAAAAACCTTTGAATTGGATTTGGGTTGCTGCTGGCTCCTAACCGTTGCCAACGGTATAAAAACCTACAAGTTAGGCGTGGACTCGGGCCGGTTCGGGCCCGGTCAGGCCGGCGGTTCAGGAATGGGTACTCCGCGGGTCCGGTCCGGGCCTCGGGCCTCAGTTATTTATTTATTTATTTATTTTCCTTTTCCTAGTTACCCCCCCCCCCCCCCAAACCACCCCAAATGGCTCAAAATACCCAGCCCAGCCCGAAAACAAAAAAAAAATTAAAAAATAAAAAATAAAATGAATCGGAACCGGGCCCGAACCGGCCGGGCCGGTTCGTGATTTAGGGGGGCCGAGCCCGGACCGGAACCCCAGCGGGTCGGGCCTACCCGGACCGGTCACTGATCGGGCCACCCCAACTACAAGTACACCGATTTCCTAAATATTTTCCTACACATGTTCTCCAATTCTTCCTACTCTCTAATCATCTTCATCTTCTCCAATTCTCTGTACACCTATTAATATATATCATATTATCATATATCTATTTAAATTAGTTATACAATTATTATATACTTATTATCTACTTATAAATACATATATTATATCTACTTATTATCCACTTAAATAGTTATTATCTACTTAATATTTACTTAATATATATTTATTATCTACTTATATTTACATATATTATATCTACTTATTATATATATCATAGTTTATACATTTATACTTTATAATTTATAGTTTAACTAATATTCATTAATATAATATTAGTTAAATTTATCCTATTACTTACACACTCACGCTCCCATCAATTACTATTATACATTCATACATTTATCCTATTAGTTACCCTTGTCATTAATAGTATTAGTTAAACTTTCTCATATTGTCACCTTTAATATTTGTACATTCTCATTTCTTAGATAGTACTCCTATTAATCATATTAAAGTTGTTACTTTCAACTATTAAAGTAGTTTCGTTTACTTTATCCTATTATATGTAATATGTATATTTCAAATTTAAAGTATTTTTTTTTAAATTTTAATTATTTTTATAATGTAGAAGTCAATTAAATTTTAGAAGTACACATACATTTAACATTTAATGTGTATATGTTTTTGTTTATACTCCGTATTAAATTACTACTCCATATAATACTACCTCCGTCCCGGTCCCGGAAACAAGTTCCCGGGTTGACTTTCACACATTTTAAGGCAATAAAGTTAATGAGGGGTAAATTTTACTGTTTTGACACTGTTTCGACACTGTTTGACACTATTTCGACACTGTTTTTCTATGTTTGACACTGTTTTGATGTAGATGATTTGCCAAATAAGGATATGAGAAGTTTATTTTGGGACATCCAAATAAAGAAAGTGGGAACTTGTTTCCGGGACGGGAGGAGTAATATTTAAAAATAAATAAAAAACTGAGAATTAGAATCGGGCAGATTGGTCTACCCGACCCGGTTCGGGACTAGTATATTTCAAGCCGGTTCCAGACTCCCAGGTACCCATTTTAATTGGAAAAGACCGGTAAATCTCGGCCTGGAACAAGGACCCAACCGGGACCACCCCTAACAATAGCTTCAATCTTACTTATTTTTATTATTACACAATTCATTGCGCGAAATAAAAATTACATGTTGGTGAAAATGTTGGTTGATAAGGCTGATAAATCGAAAAACACTCGCCAAATAGGCTCTTAAAATACCAAAAGCTAATGGCGATTCAAATAAATTTCCCTTCAAAATAAGCCACATTCGTAGAACAAAATAAATTACCGTGGAACGGTGGAACCACATGAAACACTTTCCAGGATAGATTCAAAACAAACCATTACCAACAAGAAATGTCTATTGCGTCCAAAACATAATCCAGAGAGGCGCCCAAATATGGTACTGAAATTATTTGAATTTCACTTATTTGTCAATGGTAATCAATACATCTAAATAGTGTGTGCACCCTTATTTGTAAACTATTTATCATTACAAGCTACTAAATTTACTTAAAATTTAAACTTCTTGTGTGGCAAGAACTGAACCCGCGGGAATGGGACTTGGAAACGCCTGTCAATGTTCTCCTATTCGTGGGACCAGAATTGGCCGATTCGTAACAAGAACTGAACCATGCCCACCCGTATTGTAGATTTGTAGGTACTAGGAAACCTGTGTCTCAACTACGTTACAGAGTATATATATTTACAGCTCCATTTAGAAGTCGTAGTCATGCTTCACTTGGATATACAAATTCTCAGTGCTTGAAATCCATGATCTCTTCTTCTTCCACATTTTACATCAGGTAATCATAAAGTGATGCATTTGTTGCGGCCACTACAGGCGGTAGCTTATCCATGTATAGGTAGAACCGTCTTAGGTTCTCATATGCAAGCGTGATTGTGTCGACTATATCAGAGTTGTCGGTCAGAACCCACAGATCTCCGGAGTCCACTTGGTTTAGGCTCCCTCGGCAAAATGGGCACGATTGAGATCGGATGTACCTAGCATCCCACCAATTAAGTGTCTACTTAAGTTTTTCTACTTTTGATCTTTTTACTATATTGTCTAAAATATTTTTGATACTCATCTTTAAATTTTTTCATTTTTAGTTCTTCGACCATTGTGGACACTTTTGGTAATCGTGTTTTTTCCACTTTGAATCATGACTATTGTGAAAGTAACATTGGTGCACTCCCTGTTGTTGGCCTGTGGCAAAATTCATAGTTGAAAGACAAAAAAGCCACTTTCACAATAGTTGGAAGATTAATAGTAAAAATATTCAATGTTGTATACATGTCATATGTGTCTTTGTAGAATTCCAACGGGCTAAAAATAGAAAAATTCAAAGACGAACGTCAAAATTGTCACTGACACATCGCCTTAGGACTAAAAGTGACATAAAATCTTACTTATGTTCAATCTAAATAAATAGAGTTAACATTGTTGAGTTATAATATGTAGTATAAACTATCAAAGGGAAGTCCAAATATAAGCTTCAGATTTTAGTTGCACTTCACATTTATTATACACTCCGTATATTATTATATATAATATTATATCTCAAAAAAGAAAAGAAAAGAAAGCCCTACATGCATATATACATACCAGTCATGGAAGCAGTTAATGCATAAGGAATGACCACAATTAGGCAGCACCATATTTGCACCGCTCTCCATGCATATGCCACATTCGTCTTCTCTCTGAAGATCTTCACAAGGTTGTACCGTTTCTTCCACTCCCCTGCTTGAATTGTCACAAAGATGAATTCCCCTACTATTGCCTTCTGCTAATTCGATGAGGTTGCCTTGCAGCTGCTTCAGTGAAGGATATATCACAGCTGTACATTTTGTTGTGAATTTTAATGGCCGGGTTGATGTTCCATTTGGTAATTTGGACAATATGAAAATCAAGTGTGATACTGTGAAGTATCACACTGCTATAGTGATCTTCTTTAACGCTGGTTTGGTCAGAGGATTTTGGAGGAGATGGAAGGGAGATGCGATGTTAAATTTGATAGTTTTTACTTTTAAATAGTTGTTAATCAAGTAATTTTAGACAATATATAGGAATATATGATCCAGCTAATTATAAAATTATATCTAATATAAAACTAAAAAATAGAGATAAATTAGAAATTAAAAAAAAACTATCATCCCTTTTCCTTCCTTCTGAAATGCCCGAACCAAATTTTGAAAATATAGAGGATTATAATGATGAAACTGAAAAGTCAGTCTTATATGATACAGAGTATGAAACTAGCTTAAGCAAAGACACCCTTCTAGAAAATTAAGGGGTGCAAACAGTAGGGAAAGAGTGCAGACCATAAAAATCTCTGAGGGTTGCTGTCCTTTCGTGGGGAGACATGGTTGGCATTTCATCAATGTACACCTGGCCGTGAGCTTAAGTTAGCTTCTTTAAGGTGTAGCAGATATGAAACAAATATGAAACAAATAAGACAATAGCAGTTAAGCCAAGTAAATCATGAAATTGTTTCTGATGGAAGGATTGATACTTCTGAATGGCATCATACTAATAGAGTAGAGTTAGGTGGACACTTAAATTCAAGGTGACTCTCCCTCATATTTCAATGTGGGATTTGCCGTTAAGGCATTAGGCTACTCGTCCTATAAAGTTGATGTTTGAGGTAGAAACCCCAACTTGTTTATATGGTATCAAAACCAATAGAGTAATTAGATCCTAGTAAGTATACTAGTAATCTCAATAATGCTCACACAAAATTCGATATTGGTCTGCTCTGATGAGACATCATCTTGTCGTGCTGAATAAGGTCTTGAACTAATCCTCCTATAAAATTGACCTTTTAAATGAAAATCCAAATTTTAATACTTGGGATACACCCTAACACAATTATTTGGCACTACATAGGTGATAAGACGTACGATGTTTTCTCCGTGAGTGGGAGAACTGTCCTTTGTTCAGAAAGATTATATATGTACAACAAAAACAAAATACTATTGTGAAAGTACAACAACAAAATGGGCTGCAAAACAAAGATGTGAATATTACAACGGAGACGAAATGCTTACTTTGTATACAAGTATATGAAGGAGGCCTAACCAGCTTGGAATAGAATCCAAGCAACTATAGTCCATCCATTCTATAAGAAATAGCAAGAAATTGGCCATAGGGCTATATGCGACCTTCATGAGGACACAATGCCCATTTAAATCCAATGGTAGTGCGCCTGCCCTGCAAAACTCATCAATTGAACACAACCATTTTAAAGTCCATTCTAAACTCTCACAGACATAACCATTGCGTTACTAGCGAAAAGCACAATAATGTTGACATACATGTAATACGTAGTACATCATAGCAATATCCACATGGACTCTCAAATAGAGGCAGGCTATAACAATTCTGTGTATCTTTGTTTTTCAAGAATATTATTAGGAATCATCACATTCACCTGAACCATAACTGGTTGGGTAGCTTAGGTCAGTGGTGGACACAAAGGGTGGCAATGCCCCCCCCCCCCCCAAAAAAAAACTAGGTATATTTACCCCGAAAAATTTAATATATATGTATTTGTATGTGTATTTTTGTACTGCCCACTGCCGCCCCTGCTACCGGGAAATCCCGCGTCAGCCGCTGGCTTAGGTAACATGTCATTTATAGTTTCAATAATAGTTTAGAATTAGTTCAACATTATAAACTAATGTAAGGAAAAAAAGAATGTCACAGGAAAACAAAGTAAATAGTAAGCAAAATGATTCCAAAAAAACAATCCAGGAAAAATGATTGTGGGCATTTGGAATGTCATCATCATTACCAGCTCCTTAATAATCTCAACTAGTTCGGGAGGTGATGAGTTTACATATTTAGTTATTTACTATCATGTCCCCTGGAACTGTTGGAAGATTTATAATGTAAAACTAACCTGCATATCTTGGAACATCACCAAAATATCGGACAAAGGGCATAGTAACACGCTAAAAGTTTTCTTGGTCTAAGAATTGAAAGAAAAATCTCAGGTTAAAATATTTTACTCTGTATAAGTAACACATGAATTTTCATTAACCTGAACACCCTACCACCAAATGCATGTTCAACCAACTCCCATATCACGAATATCTCAACACAGAAACCCAAAAGGGAAATCATTAGAAAAAAATTACTTCATCATAAATAAACCATAGATAGTTCTGCAAGTTCTTAATTGAACAGTATTACCTTTCTACAAAGAGAGAGAATTCCATGGGTAATGAACAAAAGTGAAACTTACAAGCTATTGGCATGTTGAACATCAGCTTCGAGGGCTTTGAGTGATTCTCTAAGAGAAGATTTGTGGGGCAGAGTTTGCCACATTTATTCTCTGCTCTGTTCCTCTTTCACAGCTTTTTCCTTCTTTTGGCAAGAAATTTTTATTCTCTGTCTTGGATGAAATTAAAAGGCACAAAAAAGTGGAAGAATTTGGGTGGAACCATTAAATATCAGAAACTTTTATGGGGGTGCCGTGGTGGGTAGGACAGGGTAAGAGAGGAGGGGACGTGGAGAAGTAGCTTGTTGATTTGAACTTTCCTACTTGAAGGAAAGAAAAGGATACCCTCCATTAATGGTTTTCCCTAACTTATGTGGCCTGCCATAGCTTAGCTTCGCGCTAAGTCTATTACAGTTGGAGACTTTTTGTTTATTTTATGGGACATTCCTGAATTTTACTTTTCCAAAAGCACATTTTCAGTCATTATCGATTTTTACTATAAAGAATTTCTTTGGAATTACTTATTTTTGATAAAATTTTAAAATCATTTTAAAAAACAAAAAGAAAAAATGGATAAGAATAATTCTTAACTATTGGTGATCTGCTTGAAATAATTCAAAGTTTTAATTATTTCAAAATAATCTCAATATCGAAAAAATACTTCAGGGAAAATAAATTTTCAGAAGTCATTTACATATTATTAATTGTCCTTGAAGTATTTTGATATTTTTTTAATAGTTATGATTATTTTGAGATAATTGATATATTTAATCATTTCAAGAAGATCACTACTAATTGAGATTATTCTTATTCATTTTTACTTTAAAAAAAGAGAAAATAATTTCAATACCCCAAATTTTAATGAAGTGTGAGATAAATTATTTAAACATGCATATGTAATACGTAGTATATATACCTTAAACTTTAATTTAAAAAAATTGCACCATTATTGTATGTTTTTGTTACAAATACAAAGTTATTGTAATGATTACATAATTTAAAATATTTCCAACTTTATTCGAATTCAATTAATATTCTAAAATTTCACTTGTGAAATGAATAATTTCACATCCGGTACAATTTAATTCTAATTGCATCCTCATAAATGTTTTGTGGATTTCGAATTATGTATTTAACACGTAAAATTACATTTGTGAAAATATATATGATCATGATGCTAATATAATTTTCATATAGATTTTGGGGTGTATATATATTGCATGTGCAAGTTTGGGTTACTTATATTACACTATTTTAAAGTTTGAAATATTTAAATTATTTTCCTAAGATTACTCAGACTTATTACTTTTTGAAATAATAGAAACAAACTCAAACACATGAATATCATCTTTTTTAAGAACATAATTCAAAATTGTGTATTTTGAATTATGTATTTAACACTATAAAATTACATTTATGAAAATATATATGATCATAATACTAACATAATTTTTCATAGGAGTATAAATTTTGAGGTATATGTAACATGTGCAAATTTGGATTAATTATTTGACACTATTTCAAAATTTGAAATATTTAAATTATTTTCCTTTGGAAGATTACTCAAACTTCTTTTTTGAAATAATAGAAACAAACTCATGAATATCATATTTTCTTTTTTAAATTTGGTTAACTCATAAAAAAAGTTGTAAGTTCTTTGAACGAGATCAGAAATGGGACGTTAGCCATCTGCTTCGTAGTTCGTACTGCTCTAACTAACGATGCATTTTTTGAAACTGTAAGAATTGGACCTGCTTCGCCACCACACCAATGAACCGTCCTCTGAAAAGCTTTTTTCAGTTATCTAGTGGCATTCCCATATGCTTGATTTGCCATTTCTGTGTCTGAATAGCAGAAATATCGGCAATCTGAGATGCCTTCATCTCCCAAATACTTCACAGCCCGCCCATTCACCCACTCATATTCTCGCAGATCCACGGCCCTCATCCTGATCTTCTTGATCGGCCTCGCCGGGTTTTTGATTGCGCTAATCGCTATTTCGAGACAAGGATTCGGGTACAGATGTGAATCCAAAGAGCCCAGATCAGTTTCGGTTGTCTGGGATAGAAGCAGCGGGATGCCGAGCAGTGGCGGTGTTGATGGAGAGCGAAAGAGACACAAAGTAATGGGCTTTGTCGGGGTCCAAACTGGGTTCGCATCCGCAGCTCGCCGGCGGGCCCTCCGGCAGACTTGGTTTCCCTCAGATCACCAAGGGCTTCAAAAGTAATTTTGCACCCCATTTTTTAATTTTATTTTGCCTGTGTTTGTGCGCGCATTACTTCTGCATCTACTTCTACTCCACCTGCTGAATGAAGTTCATGTAGTTTTTTCTTAAAGGCATTTCTAGATAATGAGTTAATGACACATGTATACTACTGCTTGTGCTATTATTGGGAGAATGCAATGCTAAAGAACACCATTTCGCACCAAAATGAAGAGACTGGTTTCAAGTATTGATGTTGTGATTATTGTATGATGAGTTGAATTCCAAAGTTGGTAGCTTTTAAATTGATTTTGGTATAGTATGTCAGTAAGGCTGGCACCCTTCAATATGACACTCTAGGTCTTGATTACATTAAATTAATGGGGGAGTTGGGATTTTACACACACTACTTATTCATTCAAATTTAAGTTTGAACCCAATTTTTGAAATCATAAATATATCTGAAGTCTAATTTTGATAATTTGCACCCCTTGTTTATCCCAAAACTGGGTTTGCACCATTTATAAAAATGTTCTCTAAGGCGGATTATGACCGAGAGGCCACGGTTTTAAGTCTCAGGAGTGGCATCTTGTCCCCCCTGCACACCCTTGTGGGTATGCATTCGTGCACCGGGCTGCCCTTTTATTGTTCAGATATTAATGATTTAAAAAATGGGGCCAACCTCGAACTTAGATTAGAAGTATGGTTCAGAATCTCACCCCCCTAAAGTTTATTACTAAATCCTTCCCAAATAATCCCAAGTCTTTTTTTTCAAACAGAAGTTTGCAATGCAGATGGTTGTACATGGAAACCCAATTTCTCTAAATGTTCAATAGACTCCATCAAATGCTGTTGTTATATTACATGCACACATACATTGGTTCCGTATGTATTATGTGATTCTTCCCGTTAATACAATTATAAATGTGATATTGGACTACAAAAGAACTGGGTAGGGGGGATATTTTGATAAATAAATGTTCTCTTTCAGTGATTGTCAACATGCATGGTGTAGAATAGCTGTTTGGTCTAGAACTAATTATAGCATCCAATTTTTTGTATTTTCTCATTCAATATTCTTGTATGGGTTGAAAGTTGCAAACATTCCACCCTTTGCTGTGTCCAAGCCCAAAAGGACATATTGTTATGGGTGTTTAATTTCTTGTTGGTAACTGACACCTTTTTCCTGGAACTTCAGGCTGGAAGAGTCTACTGGTTTGGCTTTTAGGTTTATTATTGGTAGAACTAGCGATAAATCAAAGATGTCCGAGCTTAGAAGGGAGGTTTCACAGTATGATGATTTTGTGCTGTTAGACATTGAAGAAGAGTACAGTAAGCTCCCATACAAAACGTTAGTTCTGAATAATCACACGCCATCTGTCAGAATCTTATTATGCGATTTACACTAATTTAAATTTCTTTTACAGTTTAGCTTTTTTTAAAGCTGCATACGCGCTTTATGATTCAGAGTTTTACGTCAAAGCTGATGATGACATATACTTACGACCAGGTTTCTATCCTCGTCAAGCTTTACTCATGCTTTTTTTGCAAGTTGAAATCTTTTTGCATTTTAATCAAGTAGTTTTTTTATCTTTTCTAATTAACAGATCGCCTGTCTTTACTATTGGCCAAAGAACGTTCTCACTCGCAAACATACCTTGGGTGCATGAAAAAGGGCCCAGTTTTCACTGATCCCAACCTCAAATGGTTTGTCAAAAACTGGATCCCAATAAGACTAGCTTTGATAAAAACTATACTGTTTGCATTTCTTACATATTTCCTGTGTCGTTCATGCAGGTATGAGCCATTATCGAAATTGCTTGGAAAGGAATACTTTTTACATGCTTATGGTCCTCTTTATGCTCTTTCTGTTGATGTTGTTTCTAGCCTAGTTGCACTTAGGAACAACAGGTGAGTGTTCCTTGAAAGTTATGTCATACTATGAGCAAGAAGATTATGTTTATCGTATTGATAGTTGATTAAGAAAGATCAGGTGGACACTGCTGATATCATTCTCTGTAAATATTTCAGTTTCCGAATGTTCAGCAATGAAGATGTTACCATTGGCTCTTGGATGCTTGCAATGAATGTCAACCATGAGCATGATCAACAGCTATGCCAAACCCAGTGTACCGCCACATCTATTGCTGTATGGGATATTCCCAAGTGTTCAGGTTAGTATTTTTATCCACTTCATTAGAAGTTCAGCATTCAGTGGCTGTCAGTAGCTATTACAATTCCCTGGCTGCCTATGTCCATATTTTGTTCATCAGATCGTAAAATTAGTTGCTTTGCATTTCCACATAAATATGTGATGTCTCTATAATGTGTTGTTTGTATGTGTCATTCTATTTCTATGTATATAATGATTTCTCTTTCCATTTTTGTTTTGTGACTATTGTGGCAAATATATTTTTGGCATCTGTCTTTGGATTTTTCTTGGCATCTGTCTTTTGATTTTTCTAAACTTCAGTTCTCGAGACACTTTTAGTTTCTGTATTTGAATTTTGGAAAATGCAATAAGTACAAACAAACTTACATAAAAACTTACAAACAAGTGATGCGGCTATCGTAATCACCTTTGATTTAAAAGTGATGTGACGTGTTAAATAATATGATGCTTCCACGTCTCTTTTGTAAGACACTAAGACTTTTTATAAGAGTGTATGTATCTCTAGCATAACTCAACAAGTCAACAGTGATAGTTTTGATACTCCAGTTATTGTGCAAAATTCAAAGACAGAACAAAAAGTGTTACTGTAAGAATAACAAGGACTAAGAAAGGCGAATATCAAACGTTTCCCCATCACAATAGTTTAGATGATTAAGTGGAAAATTTTAAAGAGAGATACTAAAGTGTCACAATATCCAGAAGACCAAAAGCGGAAAAAGATCAGATTCACACACACACGGAAGGTTTTTTAAGATGAATTTAATGTCTTTACCAGCCCTGCATCTTCCATCAGTAGCATTAGTCAAAATTAAAGGGCTTTACCATTGTCCAGAGCTAATGGAATTATGTTACATCTCTTGTCATCTAGGACTGTGTAACCCTGAGAAGAAGATGCTGGAACTCCATGCAAAAGACATATGTTCAAAGAGCCCTACTTTACCTACCGATGAAGATGATTAATAACTCCATCTTGTGCCAATACACGATAAGATTGAATGCAGATTGGTAACCACAACTTCATTTTGTATCTATCCTTTTAACCTTTACTGTTATGTTCACACAAGTAGAAGTAGGTATGATTGTGTGTAATGGTTTTGCACTGAACATTTCTTGATAGAAATATGATACACAGACGGAGGCAAACAACATATTATATCAGTATAGGCTGTATGTACTTGAAAAAAAGAAATTGTCGTGGGTAGCAACATGGATTACCTAGCCTTCATAAGGACCAGATGAGCAATTTATGGGGGTTAATATTGTCATTCCATTGTAAGTTGTAACAGACTATTTTGTAATGTAATATGTACTTGTTATAAGCTTCAATTTTATTGAATCTGAATTTTGAGTCTGTTCTTTTGCACTACTCAAGTATTTGAGCTGTAGTACTTGTTTGGTCTATAATAGCTGCATCTACTACTGCGAAAATGTGACAAGAACAACATCAACGTCATCCCGTTGATGCCGGTTAACTCATTGGCGTATTTTCCACAACAAAATGCTTGCATCTCTGCGATACTTTAAACAAATACTCCATGTACTATTTTTGCAATCTTCTATTTCATGCTGGTACGGTGGTACCTACCATTTCAGAGGTTTATATATTATGCATTTAGTTGTACCGTGATAGTTGTACATCCAACTTCTGTAAATGGGACTAAATGCGCGTTCTTTAAAATCTATTGAGCAATCTGCATTTACAAATTAAATACATAAGAATAAAAATGTATGGGACACAAAAAAGTATAAGCACGTCTGCAAGAGAAAATAAAAAAGAAATGATCAATGTTTTAAAGGAGCATTGTTTAAAAATAAATGTGCAATCCACATGTGATTTAGCGATCTTTAGTATAAATGATGGTTGGAAATTCTAGCGTAGCCAGGACACTGGGCTAGATTGGGCCGGTACAAAGAATATTATTGGAAAAAAAATTACACGAAATTTTTTACACTAAAAATATTGACATTTTTCAAATTTGGGGTGGGCCAGGGCCCAGCCTGGGCACCCCCTAGCTCCGCCCCTGGTTGGAATAAAAGATACCTGAACAATGAACACGAGAAGACAAAAAGGAACGAATATTCTTTTTATTGTTCCAATCTCCCATCCGACAGAACGATGGAGGAGTAAGTCTCGTCTAGTGGTGGTAGGCCTCATACACATGCACACCAGAGGTCTAGCCCAGCACGCAGGAGCTGTAACCTCCACACGGTCGATGCGGATTTCGATCATTGGTCATTGTTCCAAATTTCCCACCATTGGACCAACTGAGCTACCTGTGCAGGTACGAATATTCTTTTTATATTGGGATGAAAATCCCTTGTCCCTTCGGGGATATCCGATAAAATTGGGATGAAAATCCCTTTAAAGAAAACTGAGTAATCGTTAAGAAAATTACAAAATATCATTTGGTGTATCGGAAAGAATGCTAAAATTTGTGCAACATAAGTAGCATTTCAAATTAATATACACATTCCGTACATAAAAATACTAATACTAATAATAACAACTATTATTACTTTGTATTTTATTTGTTTTTCAGCGTTTTCTATCTCAAATGATGCAATTAGCGGTGTATGATGTGTATCAAATAGTGGCATTTTGGCAGAAACGCCGATATCCAAACGCAGGCATAATGGGATATTGTGGTCAGCGTTTTGATGCATGGCGGATTTCATCTTGTGTGCTTGAAACATAGTTGAACAAATGATGTTTGTTGTATATTGTATCATGTTTTCTGTGTCTAACCATAAACCACCATTTCCGAGGCCAATTGGTTCAACCCAAAAGGCCAACAACACACAACTTATGGGAGTGTTTGGATGCACTATATGGTGCAAGTAATAAGGGAAGAAGAAGCAATGGAAGAAAATAAACCATCTCTATCTGTCTCAGTATATAATTGGCCCGGCTCTTGAAACACACTCAGGTTTAGTTAGGCCATGCCTCCAAAAACTAGCTCTATAAGTCAACTACTACTCCGTAGCTTTTATAGGTGAAGTTTCTATTTTCAATGTCCCATTCAAAGTTACTATCGATACTAGGTCATGTTCAACCAATTTAGGTCATGTTTATTAGAGCATCCACATTCATGCTTCTGATTTTTTTGTGGTTGTTACCTTTTAATATTTGCCACATAATTGTTTTAGAAATAATCTCATCCCTTTTAAATTACTTTTAACCATCATCCCGAAATAATCTGATCTTTTGTGGGTCACTCTAATTTCATAAATAATCTCAACAGAATCTGGTTTCATATTTTGATCTCAGATTATTCTATCAATTAATCCTGCTCAATAATACTCAACCATGCTCCCCTAAATAATTTGTCATGTCACTAGAATAATCACCTAATAATCTGATGGATGATGATGCCCTTAAGGTAGGCATGGCAATGGGTCGGGGCGGGTACTGCAAGACCCAGACCCGCCCCGTGACTTGGCGGGGTGGGTCCGCCCTGCCCCGTGACCTGCATGGGTCCAAACTTGTTGACCCATGACCCGCCCATTGCGGGGCGGGTCCGCCCTGACCCGCCGTAACCTTATTAGCTAGTATGTATTTTTATTTGTGAAAGTTGTTACCAATTGCATCTACATAAAGTTTATCTCTAAATATTAATTAAAAATTAATATATTAAATCAATTCATTAACGAAAAATTACTCAAACTTGAATAGTTAATCTATTTAATTATATTAGTAATTGAACATATATATTAAAATGCTATATATAAAGAAGACATTGATAATCTGTCGTTGATCTCATTCTAATATATGTATTAATATATTATAAGATCAAATAATTTATGATTTACTATATACACACATATGTATGTTGAAGTATATTTGTAGTATAATTTAAGAAAAAGTATGTATGCTTATGTATTGAGCGGGTCGGGTCGGGGCGAGTCGGGGCGGCACGGTTCAATACTAATACCCGGACCCACCAATTGTATAGGCGGGAACGGGATGAACCCGCCCCATTTGAAAGACGGGGCGGGACGGACTCGCCCCATTTGAAAGACAGGGCAGGACGGACTCGCCCCAAATGTCTCGGGCCAGGGCGGGTCAGTGCGGGTTTCGGTTTTTTTTTTACATCCCTACCTTAAGGAAGACTACGGGAAAAAATCAAGTCCTTGATGCTGACGCCGGGCAAATCGTCAAACTGTTGAAGCACACTGCACAAGTGCACATCACAGTTCGACCTCATTACTTTTAGATTTTCTTCCTTTTGAATAACAAAGAGTCCAAATTGTGGAAGAAGTTCTAACCATCTCTCTTCAAAATGGAAAGAACACAATGTAAGTTTTATTTCGTTACATAGAAATTCATTTATTGTTAATACAAATGCTATGAATTATTTTTTGGGCATGTTTGCGGTTTTGCGGTGGAGATTTAAACAAATATAATTATGAAGCACATTGTAAAGTGACAGTGCTCTAAAATTACTAAACTTGCAATTTATAATTCATTTCAAAAGCATCATAAAATGAATTTTTTCAGTTAAAATAATACTCCGTAGTATCTATAATCTGAAGCGACACACTAAATAGCATAAATGCAGTGTTTGGCTAGTGGCATTTTAGCCCATCATAAACTGGATTAGAGATTGAATCGCCAAATGTGAAATGCCAAATGAGCTCATTATATAGTCACAATGTCACATAATAATCAACTAATTAATATGATTTCATTGTGGCTCAAGGGTTAAAGAAAGGAGTTGGAAGGACCTCTTCCTATATTCACCTCATTATTGTTGATATTAGGAAGATCTTGGAAACAGAAAGTAATTTTGTTATCTCTTTTTGTAGAAAGTCTGCAAATCGTGTCGCTCATGCTCTTGTAAGAGCACATGTTGCTATCTCATATCAGATGGTCACCTATGATATTATCCCTCAATGCATTGTCAGCCAGTTGGCAAAAGATTTATTGATTTAATATAAGTTTTGTGTTATGATGATAAAAAAAATATTAGTTGTAATTTGTGAATTATTCCAATATGAATTTCAATTGCCCTTAAGAGAAATTTGGAGCAATTGAATGAGGCCTTGAAGGGAAAGCTCAACATCCTTGTTCTTTATCAGTTCTCCGGCAACTTCGGCCGGAGTCACATCTACTTTCTCAAACAACTCTTCAATTTGTTTGAACAAGTTATGATGATCTATCCCCAAATAATTTTTTGCCAATTGCTTGAATGCAGAAAATTTGCAATATGACAAATGTATATGCATATCCATTCTTCCAGGCCTTAACAAGGCAGGATCTAATTTGTCTTTGTGGTTTGTTGTGAGTACAATTATCTTTTCCTCTCCGCAACAAGACAATATCCCATCAAGAAAATTAAGCAACCCTGAAAGTGTCACCTACAAAGCAATAAAAATTGGAACAACTTTAACAATAAATACTCCGTAATAAAGTTATCATCGTACTTGTGAATATTAATCCCACTTCAAATATAATCCTAGAAATAAGAAGTAGCTTTGGAGATTATGTGATTTTGGTCTTTAGATTTATATTTAACTATCATCATATTTCAATAAGATGATGTGATTTTTTTTGCAAGGAAAAGGGAAGCTATTGTTGATAAAATATTTCAGGATTACAATCAAACCACAGCATGTCACCAATTTCAGGAGGGGATTCCAAACACAGGACAGCAGCCTCCACCCCTCTTCTTTGCTAGTTGGTGTGCCACACAATTACATTCCCTTTTGACCAAACTGAAGCGCACGTCACATAAACATGAGATCGCCTCCTTCAACTCGTCGAGTATTAATCCAAAATGGGATCTATCCTTGCCTGACATGCCCAGCTTTGTTATGAGCGCTGCACAATCTGATCCAATGATGATTGGCATGTTAACCCGTGTTCGGCCTTGTCGGACAGCCTCTACACAGGCCAGAATCTAGGCTTCCTCTGCTTCAGCACATATGGCCATATGGGTAACTTGCACCAACCAGTGAGAAGAACCTCACCTCTACAATTCCGAATAATATAGCCCACTGTTGTTTCCCCTGTCACCGGATCAAAGCTAGCATCTGAGTTCAGTTTTGCCCATCCCTGTGGAGGAAGGCCCCAGCTAGGTGCATCAGCCACAGCAGCAGGATCCAAATGAGCTGAAGGAAACTCAAACTTGCCCTTCCCGTTTTGAGAAACATATTGTATTTGAATCCATGATTCCCAGTAACTCCTTAGGAATTCAACACTGGCAGAAACTTTAGCATCTCCTTTTCCATGTACCACATCATTCCGTAAATGCCACGCTCGCCAAAAGATAAATAAAATGCGTGCACGCGTTAAACTGTCCATCCCATTCAACAGGTTCAGAAACCACTCCGGGCCAGATCTCCGGAAATAATTCTCTGGGGGCAGATTCCAATAAGGTCTCATGCTCTTCCGTAAGGCTCTTGCCTTGGTGCAACCCACGACGGCGTGATAACGTTTGTGATTTTGGTCGTTTGTGCATATCAAACTTAAAATTTATAACCATTATATAGTCGATATTTTTTTAAGATTTATTCAGAATTTATAAGAAATTCATCCTAAAAGATTCTGTTGAGATTTGGAGGAATAAAAGACAATTTTATTAATGTAAAATATTGAGTACAAAGGTGGGGAGTCTCTCTTACTCTCACTCTTGAGGATGCTTCACTCTCTTGGTGGTGATGGAGTTGTGTCCATCCACCTCTATTTATACTAGCTAGCCTAAGGAGGTGAGAGTGTTTCTAGATCCTTCCACATTAATTACATTCTAGATTATTCTCACATCTATTACATTCTAGAGTATTTCTATCTAACTCTCATTCAATACTCTATCTAGAGAATTCTACACTTCCTAGAATTCATAAAGAAGATTATAGAAGATTCTAGAGAACTTAATAAAGTAGATTCTAGAAGATTCTAGAAGATTCTAGAGAGTCGTTGACTTTTCAACACTCCCCCTCAACGACTATTCTATCTTATTGCAGATCTTGCAACCATGCCAAGTTGATCCCTCAAGCTCTCGAACTGCGTAGTGTTTAGTCCTTTGGTGAACAAATCAGCAATTTGATTTTCTGTCCTGATGTATTTCATCTCAATATCTCCTTTAAGGACCTTTTCTCGTATGAAATGATAATGAACCTCCACATGTTTTGTCCTTGCGTGAAAGATTGGGTTCTCCGCGAGCCGTATTGCTGATTGGTTATCACAATGTAATGTTATTGGCTCGTCAATTGGTTGATGAAGATCTTTTAGAAGTTGCATCAACCATGCACTCTCTTGAGATGCCATTGCTGTTGCTCTATATTCTGCTTCTGTAGTTGATAATGACACTGTTGGTTGTCTTTTGCTACACCATGACACAGTGCCCGTCCCAAGACTAAATGTGTAACCAGTGGTAGAGCGACGAGTATCATGATCTCCAGCATAATCAGCATCACAATGGCCTACCACTTCAAATGATTCATCTCTTTTATACAATATGCCGAAATCCAAAGTTCCTTTTATGTACCTCATTATGCGCCGGATTGCATCTAAGTGTGGCTTCCTTGGCTTCTCCATGAACCGACTCACTACTCCTACCGCGAACATGATATCCGGCCTTGTGATTGTTAAGTAGATAAGACTTCCAACAAGTTGTCTGTACATTGTGGAGTCCTCTAATTCTCGACCTTCAACTGTGCACATCTTCACATTCGGCTCTATAGGAGTTGATATCGGTTTGCAATCAAGCATCCCAAACTTTTCAAGTATGTCTTTTGCATACTTGTGTTGGCACAAGAATATTCCTTCTTTAGTTCGTTCAACCTCAAGGCCCAAGAAATGTTGTAGTTCTCCAAGCTCTTTCATTTGGAACCTCACTGATAAATTTCCTCGTATTTCATTGATCTCCTTCTCATGATTCCCGGTGATGATTAGATCATCCACATATATCAATATGACCGATACTTTCCCACCGATATACTTCACAAACAAGCTTGAATCAGAAGGAGCAATTGAGTAACCACTTTGTACCAAGAATTCAGCTATCTTCCCATACCATGCTCGTGGTGCCTATTTCAATCCGTATAATGCTTTCTTGAGTTTGCACACAAACTCTGGATGTGATTTGCTTATAAATCCCTCAGGTTGCTCCATGTAGATGCTTCGATCTAGCTCTCCATGTAAGAAAGCATTCTTGACGTCCATTTGCCACAACTTCCAAGATTGTCTTGCTGCTAGTGCTAGTAGGACTCGTACAGTAGTGATCTTTGCTACTGGGCTGAACGTCTCATCATAATCAAGGCCATACTTTTGAGAGAAACCTCGAGCGACTAGGCGTGCTTTATATCTTTCAATTGATCCATCTGGCCGAGTTTTCAACTTATAAACCCATTTACAAGTTATTGGACGTACCTCTTTGGGTTTAGGAACCAACTCCCAAGTCTCGTTCTCTCTAAGGGCCTTGATCTCCTCTTCCATTGCCTTTTTCCATTCGGGACTTTGTGAGGCGTCTTTGAAAGTAACTGGTTCTTTTGGCCCATTATCTTCCATTAGTGCCGCATTTGCATACTTTGGGTTTGGCCTCCTTCTTCTTGTCGACCTTCGGAGAGACTCATTTGGCTCTTCAAATTCCTCATACTGACTTGGCCTTGCTACTTCATTAATCTTATCATGACTTCCTGTTTGCCATGGACCTTTATAAATCTCAGGTGGTTCTTCATTTGATACTTCAACATTTGTGTCACCTTTTTCTTCTTCTCGTTCTTTTAAGATCTCTTCAATTTCTTGTGAATCTGGAAGAACAACTTCTTGAGATGACCACCATGATGATGCTTCATCAAATACCACATTTCTTGATGTGTAGCATTTTCCAGTTGTGGGATCACAACACTTCCATCCTTTCCTTTCATCATCATAACCCACGAATATGCAGCGAATTGCCTTTTTATCAAACTTGCTACGTAAGTGATCAGGAACAAATACGTAGCATACACAACCAAACACCCTGAAGTGACTTACCGTGGGCTTGAGATTTTGTAATTTCTCGAATGGTGAAACGAATCCAAGCTTTGCTTGCGGCAACCTGTTAATCACATGGGCTGCCGTTTTCATACACTCGGCCCAAAACCGTGGGGGTACATTCTTCGAGTGCAGCATACTTCTTACAGTCTCCGCCAAGTGTCTATTCTTTCTCTCTGCAACCCCGTTTTGTTGAGGCGTACTTGGGCATGAGAATTGTCTTCTTATTTTACACTCTTTTAGAAATTTATTAAATTCTTCAGACGTGTATTCTCCCCCGTTATCTGTGCGTAGGCACTTGATATTGTGGCCTACTTCTGCCTCAACCTTTTCTTTGAATACCTTGAACTTGTTTAAAGCTTCTGATTTTTCTTTCATAAAATCAACCCAGACAAATCTTGAAAAATCATCAATGAATGTAATCATGTACCTGAAGCCGCAAACTGAAGGTTGCTTTACCTTCCCGAATACGTCTGAGTGTATTAGCTCTAGCGACGCTTTGGCTCTGAACTTTGACTCCTCGTATGGAAGCTGATGAGCTTTTCCATATTGACACCCAGCGCAAACCACATCATCGTGGATTTCTAGTTTGGGGAGACCCTTTAGCATTTCCTTCTTCATCATCACCTTTAATTTCTTGTAACTCACATGCCCAAGACGTGCGTGCCACAAGTCTGGTGTCTCATTTTTCCGTGTCTTATCTACATATGCCGTTTGTGCAGACATTACATAGATAGACTCAACTCTTCGTCCCTCCATGATCGGTTCCTCATTTTCTTGTAGATGTCGATATACTTTAACATAGTCTGGGCCGAACACCACATATTTTCCAGATCTTGTGAGTTGTGACACCGATAGTAAATTCTTCTTCATACCTGGCACGTGCATGACATCTTGAAGCTCCACTTGCTCAGCATTGAATCGGGGAGTAATCTTTGTTTGGCCAACATGAGTGATAGGTAGTTTTGAGTTGTTTGCAGTGACTACAACTCGTCGTCCTTCATACTTGTTGATGTTTTCTAATTTGGTCATGTCACCCGTCATGTGATTGGAGCACCCAGAATCTACTATCCAGTCATTTTCACAATTTATGAATCTATCACTCACCGTGACAAGAGCCGTTTCTTCTTCTTCCTCTTCTTCAATGATGCAAGAAGCTGCAAGTTCTTGATCATTGTCCACTGCATAGGCCACTTGAAAATCCCATTCTTCTTCACTATTGCTTTCCTTTAGAGTTGATGTTGCTGCATTTCCTTCAACTCTTTGAAGTCTGCAATCTCTAGCAAAATGACCTTTCTTCCCGCAATTGTAGCACTGGTCGTTGCTCCGTCTGTACTTCTTCTCTTCTTTATTTTTATCATGACGGGCTTGATTAGCTCCCCCTCGATGAGAGCTCCCTTGTGGCCTCTTTCGCCAATCTTCATTATGTGGATTTATATTTGTTGGTCTTGCGCTTCTTCTATCTCGTCCGAAACTCCTTTTATTGCTATATAAGGCGGTCTCATCCTCTTTGATTGAGACTTTAGATATTTGTTTATCTAAAGCCTCTTGGTTGGCTAATAGGCTCTCTAACTCCGTTAGAGTTGGCTCTTTTGTCCATCCACGGGTAGCGGTAATAATACCATTAAATTCCGATCTTAACCCATGGATTATGATTCTTCTTTTTCTTGTATCGGTGATGGCATTTTGCGGATCTAATTTTGATATTTCGTCACAAATTGCTTTGACTTTATTAAAATATTGACTCACCGACATATCTTGTTGAGAGACCGAGAGAAGATCATTTTCCAACCGTTGGAGCTTCGCATCATTCGTCCTAGCAAAAAGTGCCGCCAAAGTATCCCATGCCTCTTTTGGAGTTTTTGCATCTTTGATGTGCTGCAACAACTCGTCTTCAATTGTTACGGATAGAACATACATGGCCTTCCCCGCTTTTATCTTCCATTTCCTTAATTCCTCCGCATTTGTGGGTGGCGATGTGTTGTCATTACTAATGATGTCCCACAAATCTTGTCCAAGCAAATAAAATTGCATACGAACACTCCAAATGTTGTAGTTGGAATTGTTAAGTTTTTCGACGCCACTTACTGAATTAGAGATATCCACAGTGACTTGAATATATGACGATCAATATTCCAAGCAAGTTTGGTCCCAGACCAATCGACTTCACAATCCCAGATTGTGCACTAATAGTACCTCTGCGTCGCCTTAACTCTTCACGGACAATCGCCCCCGATCACCGGCTCTGATACCACTTGTTGAGATTTGGAGGAATAAAAGACAATTTTATTAATGTAAAATATTGAGTACAAAGGTGGGGAGTCTCTCTTACTCTCACTCTTGAGGATGCTTCACTCTCTTGGTGGTGATGGAGTTGTGTCCATCCACCTCTATTTATACTAGCTAGCCTAAGGAGGTGAGAGTGTTTCTAGATCCTTCCACATTAATTACATTCTAGATTATTCTCACATCTATTACATTCTAGAGTATTCTATCTAACTCTCATTCAATACTCTATCTAGAGAATTCTACACTTCCTAGAATTCATAAAGAAGATTATAGAAGATTCTAGAGAACTTAATAAAGTAGATTCTAGAAGATTCTAGAAGATTCTAGAGAGTCGTTGACTTTTCAACAGATTCTTCTGGTAGTGAGTGAAGAGGGATATATACTTCAACATGCATGATAAGAACTCGTGATCTTGATATGGTATTGCCTACACCTCACTTTTTTCCCATTTCATATTACTGCATCATATCATAGCCTTTTGAATTGAAGACAAGTTAACATTAACTTTGGACTACGTCTAATATCAAGTTAATCTAATATACTATGAGAGTCGATTATGCTCTGATTTGAGAAACAAGATTACATATTTGGCAAAGATTTAGAGACTGTTAGGATATAATTCAATATTTCTAAGGAAACTTGCCCTAAATAGAAGCAAAAACGTTTTGCAATTTCAAAATAGGATTGTTATGTTTTTCTTCCCGAAATATGAGTCGTTACTGTCATGACTGAAAACAGTGCCATTAATGACAATTAATATTGTCATATTAATAATGCCTAGTACTACAAGTCTACAAGTATTTTGACCAGTAATGAATCCGGTGACAGAAAATAACTTCATGTTACTCCTATTTCAGGATGAAAAGCATATCAGTCATATTTTAGAATTCTTAAACATTTTGACTCCTATTCGGAGATTTTTCCCTATATCTAAATACTTTATGAGTAAGATTGAGAATTCTATAAAAGACTAGAACTTTATGGAGATGTGTAGAACTCTTTAGAATAGAATGGAGTTATCCAAAGAAGTAATGTTCTCTAGATATGTGTAGAATGTTGTAATACGGTATTAGTAATACCTTGTCATGGCAGTTTTCTTTTTCTTCCAGGGACTCCCTATTCTCAAGCTTGATGCTGCAATCAATATCCTCAATGACAAGGATGGAACGGCTAGGCATTGAAAGCAACAACGACCTCAAATTCGTGTTATTGCGAACTTCTGTAAGATCAAGATCGTATATGTCATAGCTAAGATAGTTAGACATAGCAGCAATCAAGCTGGACTTTCCTGTTCCGGGAGGACCATACAGCAAGTACCCGCGCTTCCAAGGCTTGCCAATCTTCTTGTAGTATTCTTTCCCCTTCAAGAACTTGTCTAAGTCTTCAATAAGCGATGCCTTAACCACACACTACAAAAAAATTCGGCTGTAGTCACGGATTTAGTCACGGACCACAGTGTAAAAAATCCGTGACTAACTCATTTAGTCACGGATTCTGTCCGTGACTAATTCCGTGACTGTTTGGGCGTGACTAAATTTAGTCACGTCAAATTGTCCGTGACTAAATGTAGTCACGGATTAGTCACGGACCAGATCCGTGACTAATCTGTCACCGGAATAGCTGCTCCGGCACTTTAGTCACGGCTAAGATCTGTGACTACATTTTTTAAATTTTTTTTTATATTAGTCACGGACACGTCCGTGACTAAGTATTTTTTTTTTTAAAAATCGGCCATATTAGTCACGGAAATATCCGTGACTAAGTTTTCAAATTTTTGAAATTTTCAAAAACCCGCGTTTCCTTTTTTCAATGTTTTGAAATTTCATATTAGTCACGGTCATGAATCCGTGACTAAATTTTTTTTTTTTTAAAAAAATAAATTTTAAATTTAACAAATAATTCCGGACTAAAAAATTAGTCACGGCTCAGATCCGTGACTAAATGTTTTGTTTTTTTAAAAAAAATTCTATTTTTTAAAAACCAAAATTAAAACTTATTTTAATTTTTCTTAAGAAAAATTGTTTTTAAAAATATTTCAATTGAACTGTTCGTAGAAAAACTATTTTAAAACTCTTTAAACTTTTTTAAAACTGTTTAATAAAAACAGTTTTTAATAAAACACAGTTTAAACATTTTTAAAACTTTTTTTAAACTGTTTAAACACTTTCTAATAAAAAAACAGTTTAAACTTTTTAAAAACTGTTTTTTAATGTCTTTAATAAACACTTTTTTAAACTGTTTAATAAAAAACTGTTTATTACACTCTTTTTAATAAAAAATAGTTTATTAAACACTTTTTAATAAAAACCCGTTTTTTATTAAGCAGTTTAACAAAAACTTTTTTTTATTAAACTGTTTTTTTATAATCTATATTTTATATTTTATTTCAGAAAACTGTTTTTAATGTCTAAATTAATATTTTATAATTAACATGTTAAACTTTTCTGGAAGTTTGACATGAGGGGGTATTTTTTTAAATAATTCGGGAATAATAATTTTGATAGATGATAAAAAACAATAATACTAACAATGTCCAAATATTTCTATTTAGCATGCTTCATTCTAAGTCTAAAAATTAGTCCAAACTAACCTAACATAATTCAAGAATAAAAGAAACACATAAGGCCGAAATAAAAATAAAATAAAAAAGGTTTGAATAATCATGCATGTTGTTTAACCTAAAATTAAATCATATTTTGGCATACATATTAAAATTATTGAACATATAAAACATGTAATAAACTAAATTATATTAAACATGTATACCAACTAAAGAAAAGTATAAACTAAATCGTATTTCGAAATTTAATATTAAACATGTATTTCAAAAATTATATTTCGAATATTAAAGAAAAATATAAACTAAAACATATTAAATCATATTACTACACAAAACATGTATACAAAACTAAAGAATCATTCATAATCTTTTGTATTTCAACAAAAGAGCATGCACTTTAATAATAACATGCATTTTTGGAATGAAAATCAAATACTAAAAATAAGAATGAAAAGTAATTGAAATTTAGAACACATAACCTTGATGAAGAGGACGGCGAAGAGTCTTCGACGGAGGTAGCTAACGGAGACCGGCGACGGACGGTGGCGACGGACGGTGAAAGCGGTGGTGGAGGTCAAAGGGTTCGGCGGATAGAGAGAAGAAGTAGAGATAGAGGGAGAGTTTTAGGGTTGGGAGAGTGTTTGGAATGAAAAATTCGCCAAGGGTTTATTTTATATAAGGGATTTAGTCACGGATATTTCCGTGACTAAACCCTTCGTAATCCCCGAATCCAGCCACGCGGTGTCAGGGCCGCCATTGAACGGGTTAGTCACGGATAAATCCGTGACTAATGCCGTGACTAAATTCAAAATTTGAATTTAGTCACGGATTTAGTCACGGAAAATCCGTGACTAACCCGGTCAATTTTTTTTTCGAATTTTTTTTATGGATATAATATGGAGTAATTTTAAATTTCGAATTATGGAAATTTTAATTTTGAATTTCTAACTTTGAATTATTAAAAGTATATTTTGAATTTATAATATGGATATAAAAAAGTTGTTGTGGTTGAATTAATATGGAGTAATTTTTATTTCACAAATAATAATGATGAAGAAAAAAAATCAAATATTGTTGGAGTAATATACGTAGTAATGATGAAGAAAAGAGCACAAATATTTGGAGTCAAAAAAATTGAAATTACAACAACACAATTACTCGCTGTCAGAATCGTTATTTTCTACATATACAACGTCTTC